CCTCTCAGCTGTGTCTAGCTGTGCTGGCTGATCGTCCGCCCTGCGTGCCTCTGCGGGGCTCCCATCGTTCATAGCGGATGCTGGCGCCGAGGTGCCGGTGGGCTGTAGCTGGCCCCACGCGAAGCCTCTAGAGCCGCTGACTCAGGGGGGCCGTGATGGCAAAAAAGAGCGGTGCTGGACCTGTGAACGCTTGACACCGCCTGGCGGATAGCGGGGCTCTTGCTTGGCGGCGCGCACTGCCCGAGAGGCAAGCACCAATGGTGTTCCCGAGGGCGTTTACTGTTTCTGCTGTTACCGTCGTCTCGAGCTTCCAACGCTCCAAGACAGCCCAAGAGGCCCCGTAGACCGCCCCCAAACTGCCCAAAAGGCCCCTACGAGGGCCCCAGGACGGCTCAAGAGGGTTCCAAAGCGGCCCAAAGAGGGGCCCCAAGACGGCCAAAGATCGCCCCGACCCTCTCCCCAAGGCCGGCTTGTCATCTCTGGTGCTCTGGCTCGCGGTCCTGGAGCCCGGCGAGGGCTCCCGGAGACCGAAGCCTGCGAACAACGCCGCCAGATCTTGGCTCAAGACGTCGGATGTCTGGGCCTGGGCCTGGGCAAGATCTGGCAACACCCAGCACTGGCGCGTGCTCTTCCGGCCCTCCCAGTTCCCCGGAGGCTCTATGGAGGGCCCCCGGGGCCCCGAGGAGGCGCCGATATGCGGGCGGCGGGTCTGCGCGAGGGCCTCTCGTCACCGCCCGGGCGTCGCGACTGGTCTCTTCGACCCGAGGTTGCCAGAGCTCAACCTGAGGCCGCGGGGTTGGGGGGTCCGTTTCCTCGCTCATCTCTGTTCATTATACAGTCGGGGCGTTGACCTAAGGAACCCTAAATAAGGAACGAAGCCCCTTTTTTTCATAAGTGAACCTTCGACTTGCAACCAAGAACTTCAGGAAAATATTGGGCAAGGTGTGGAACAATTAAGGAACACCGAGCCCCTCCCCAACGAAAAGGGTTCCTTCTTCAGTGCCCCGACTGTAAACAACTCCTCCCTGTCGCACCCCTAGACGTGTCGGGTTGCAAGGTGCAACGGCCTCAGGGATGGAGGGCGGTTCGTTGTCAGCATGTGCCCCCGTCCCCCCTCGAGCGCGGCGCACCGTGGCTCTGCAGGTTCGCAACGGAGCATCAGACATGGAGGGCGGGCCCTTTTCAAATAGTGGTGCTCGCCGTTCCGCCGCGCGCATTCGTCTTACGCTTTGCGACAGCTCCCAGGCTTCGTACGGTTGAACTCCAAGGGATTGTCCTCTGGCACGAATTAGGACGGTCAGGACGCAACAGTCACGTTGTTTCGCTGGTGTTGAACCCCTACGAACCTTGCTCTGTCACGACCTAGAACTGCCAGTACGCACCAGTCACATCGATTCGCGAGGTTGACGTCCCAAGGATGGCGTTGTGGTGCGACTGAGGATTATCAGACGGCTGTCTTCCGAGGGGGCACTTCCTGCAATGAAGGTAAATCTTGCAGGGCCCTGTGAAGAGGGAACTTGAGGGGAGGGTGCATTGCAACATCGTTTATGCGTCTTGGGCTTACAAATGGTCCTCCTCCTCCTCCTCGCCTCGCATCGCCTCACCTCCCCCCGCCTCGCCTCCCCCTGCCCCACCTCACCTCACCCCGGCATGCCTCACGCCGCCTCACGTGGCCTCGTCTCGCCTGGCTTCGCCTCGCCACGCCTCACCTCCTCCTCCTCCTCCTCCTCCTCCTCCTCCTCCTCCTCCTCTTCCTCTTCTTCATCCTCCTCTTCCCTTAGAGAAACCGAAAACGGCGTAAACATACAAGGCGGCGACGCCGAAAGCAGACTTCTCGAAAGGCGACTTTCCGTTGAAATACGGACCAGGTCATGGGGGGTCAACAGCTTGATTAATTCGAGGGCCTCGATTGCTGCACAGGGCACTTGACCAGATCTGTCGTTCTCCCTCATTTCTCATGTTGCGCATAATGTGAGAAGATTGCGCGCGACCTTCGGCCGGTCTTGGCGAGGAAGTTGCGGATATCTGGAAGCACCTGGCAAGCATCAACATTCCCCGGCACCGGACGTCATGAGTAACACCATGCCATCGCAAAAAAGCGACAAATACAGTGAAAGCTTCTGATCCCATCCTTGCACAGGACTTCTCAAATCAGGCTGGGCCGTGAGAGTGCCAGGGAGCAGAACGGGGCAAGACATCCGCTGCGATCCTTCACGAGGCACGGATGTGAGGGTCCAGCGCGCATGTGCCCGCGAGCAGCACAGGAGGACGCCTGAGATGCCAACTGAGCGCGAGAGACTCCAGCCTTGCCAGGCCCAATCCCAGCCAGGCAGCCCCCCTCTTCTTCATCCTTCCTTCTCATCCCTCGATGCTCTGCCCGGTTTCTTCCGCATCCTCCTCATCCCCTCCTCTGTGTCCTCCTCGTCCCCCTTCCTCGTCCACTTCCTTCGTCTCCGTCGCTCCTCCTCGTCCTCCTCCGCGTCTTCGCCCAGGCCAAAGAGGGCACCTTCCCTGTGAGAAGGGAGGAGGGAGGAGGGAGAATGGCGAAGGACGGGGGGGACGAAGGAGTGAATGTAGCGGAAGGTGGAAGGAGGGAGGGGGGAATAGAGGGGGAGGAGGGAGGGGGGAAGGCGGTACTGGTAGGAGGGAGGAGGCAGAAGCGAGGAAGGGGAGAGAAAGACCGTCGGAGCGAGGGGGTCGCAGAAACGAGAGGAAGAGATGGAAGAGGAGCAATGGGCCTGGGGGTCCCCTGGCACAGCTTGACGTCTGAGGGCGAGGATTCGAGAGGAAAGGATGAGGAGGTTAAAGAGGAGGACGAGACTTTTTTTTTTTGTTTGCGAACCCCTGGAGCAAAGAGGAGGACGAGACTGAGCGAGCGACCACACCCGACGACGCGCACGTGCTGCCGCGCCAGGGAACAAGACTGTGCGGTACGGGCCGGGGGCCCGGACCCCTGCGCTTAGAACCTATCCAGTGCAAGTAATGGTGGAGGCAAGCTACACGAGGCACCGACTTCCCAAAGGTCAGCATCAGGATCCCTAGCAGAGGGGAGGAGGAGGAGGAAGAAACAAGGAGAGGGGCGGCGATGAGGATAAGGCGGGGAAGCAGGCCGAGAACAGGGTCGCAGTATCATAGATGTATACAAAATAATATACACGCCTCTCCGAAGGGGTAGAGCTCGGATGCGATTAATTGTCGGCGGCGGCGGCCGTTCGGAGTTGAATGGCCGCTTGGCTTGGGACATCAATATCATTCGTAAAACTGGACACACCCCTCCAGCCGATCGCAACGACAGCAGAAGGAGGAGGAGAGGGGCAAGGAAGGAGGACGACGGGGGACGGGGAAGGAGGACGACGGGACGGGGAGGAGGGAGGGAGGAGGGAGGGAGGAGGAGGGAGGAGGGATGAACCTCCTCCACGCCAACATGCCCCGACCGCCGAGCGCCTGCGAATTCGTCTTCGACACGATGTGGGGCCACACCGACGGGTTTGTGGCGGACTGCCGCGGCACCATCGCGTCGTCGGCCTGGAGGAGCGCGGGCCCGCGCGCAGGGCCGCGCCGTCGTCGTCGTCACTCCTCCCTCCCTTCCACGATAGAGATCCTCCTCCTCCTCCTCCTCCTCCTCCTCCTCTTCCTCCCCCTCTTCCCTCAGAGAAACCTATAACGGCGTAAACATACATTGCTGGAGCTCCGCTCGTGCTTCTTGGACCTGCACTAGGGTCCCTGGCGGCGACTCTGGCGCCGGCCCTGACGGGCTGTTCGCCAGGAAGGGGGTCCAGCGCAGATCCAAGAAATCCGCGCGGAGCTCCGAAACTTTCTGCGTACGCCGCTGCTTCTTCCTCAATGTGTCCCCCCCTCCCTCACTTTATAAATCCTGCCCCCTCCCCCGCGTGGTCGCCGCTGCCGCCGAGGACTTGAGAGGGAGGGAGGGGGACTGGGAGCTGGATGGGTGGAAGACGAGTCGAGGATCGAGCATATGTCTGTGTTCGGGCGCGTTCGGGCATCGTTTCGGGCCTCTGGGCTCGAATCGAGGATCGAGGATCGAGGAATCGAGGATCGAGGATCGAGGAAGACGAATCGAGGATCGAGGATCGAGGATCGAGGATCGAGCATGTCTGTGTTCGGACGACCCTGAAGTCGTTCCGGATCTCTGGGCTCGGGGCGCGCCCGCGTGGCCACGGCTGGGCCCACCATGACGTTGGTCGCCAGAGCGAGCGTGAGGACAGTCCGGGCGATCGACGTTCGGACGGAGGCGAGCTCGCAGGAGAAGCAGGAGGAGAAGGGGGGGGGACTGGACGTCGAGGGAGCGGAGCTGGAGCATGAGAAGGGTGGAGGGAAGCATGCAAACTGAAGCAAAGCCACGGAAAGGAGAATGAGAACGCGACACAAGACAGGAGCGAACAGGAGCGACGACTAGAAAGGGGGCAGTACATCATCGGAGGAAGGGGTCAATGGCGGAAACAGGAAGAGGAGTGAGCGCTGCTGTGATAGTGCAGTGTGAAGCCCGAACGGCCGCGGACTGCGGCCACAAAGCAACTCGTCGCATCAAGGTCACTGGACGCGTGGACCTTTCCGTGAACGCATCAGCTCCGATTCGACGTTCCCCCAGAGATCGGCCGTGCCGACCCTGTGAGTCGCGTGGCCTCTGCCCGCGCACTCGACACCCGTCGCACCGTCCCGGCGCTGACGCCACCAGCGCTCCCTTCACATGGCTCACCTGAGACTCCTGACAGAACCCAGCTCGCTGAATGCGCGGAACTGCCCCAGAGCACATAGTCGCTGACTGCCCCGCTCCCAAAGCCCAACTTGCCTCGCGATTGCCTATTGAGTGCTGGCTCCCAGAGCTTCTAGCGCTGAGGAGACTCGTGGCTCATCAAGTCCACCAGACAAACTGACCTCCGCAATCGCATCCGCCATTGCTCCGATCCAGCTGACATGCTCAATTCTCGGCAAGACGCTAGCTTGATTGCGGAATAGCCTAGCCGACTCCAGATATGCAGTCACGACCGTCCAGTCGGCCCCATGAGACAGGTCTTCCTCAACTGCGGTGACCACGTGAGATGGCGGGGCACGCAACACGCGTGGATGCGGAGCGCCTCTGAAGCTGGCTGGCGCATCAGGAACAGGACGTATGACTGGGCGGTCGGACAAGACGACTCGTACGAGGAGCAAGGAGGGACACGTAACATGGAATCTGAAACTGGAGAGGCAGGGCGCAGGCGGGAGCTGGGTATGGGAAAGTGCCGAGGGACGGCTGAGCGGCACCAGAGAAGACGGCACAGGAGCAACAGAAGCGACGAGGCTGCAGGTCCAATGGCGCGGCGCATCGGTCTGAAACACGCTCGCCGATGCGCCAAATGAGGCATTCCCCCGCACAAAGAATCGCCGAAACGTATACGGCACGTGCGGTATTGGTTTCTGGCACCGCGTGGAACGTTCAACCTTGACCGATCGGGCGCTTTCCGATCGCCAGATCGTAGATGGTCACATGCTGGGAGATTCTGGGCGTTCAACCTTGAACGCCCGCGCTGGGGTCGCCGCCGCATCGACACGACGCAAACCTGCCGTACCAAGTGCCTTGCAGTCAACAGGAGGGTAGACTCTGGCGCAGCCGTCGGTCGACCGCCGCTGTGAAGGCCCCGGCGCTCACATACCCCGCACCGCTCGACACCCGACGGGGTGCCATCTCTCAAGCCTCGCACTGCACCTCCTCGTCCTCCTCCTCCTTCTCCATCTTCTACCCCCTCCCCTCCGATTCCTCCTCTCCTCTCTGGAAAGGTCCGCGCCGACATTTGAGGTTGAGTCCTGGACCGCATGCACCGCATGGTGCGACACTGCCCGGATCAATACGATTCGCCTGGGGATCGACACAATCATCACCGCTTCAACCCAACAACGCTTGAGCACCATTTTGACTGTGAGAACCCAGGCGCCTGAACACCAGTACTGGTAACTAGCTCAACGACTCAGAACACATCATGATCAGCTTAACCGCACGCCCCAAGATGCCCCCGACAGGCCCCAACATGGCAGAAGACTGCCCCAGTGCACTCTCAAAGTGGTTCGGTCTGGAAGGGGGGCGGCAAGGGCGCAACACTCCCCATAACTTCGTTCAATCATCCAGCACGATCGACCAGCGCCGTCCCGCGCGAAACGGCAAGATGTAAAGAGCTGCGCGCCAATGCACCGAACTTGCGCCCGCGCTCACAGAGGCACGTGCGAGAATAAAGTACCATTCGAGCGCACCGAACGCATCGAAATTGAAAGGATGCCCCACGCGAAATGCTCATGGATTTCTTGTCTCGAGCTGGATTCCACCAATCTTGAAAAGATGTCTCGAGCGACTAGATTACGCTGGACCTGTTTGCAAACAAAATCCAAATCATATGCTCGAGGACGTCTCACGCGAAACGTTCATGGTCCTGTGGTTCCGAACTAGGTGGATAAGAAAATGGCAGGACGCCCCACGCAATTCGTTTCAATACATGTCGCGTTTTCGAGGAAGTCCCGTACGAGACGCTCACGCTTCGATTGTTTCGAACCGGATTCGAACCTGGTTCGCAACTGTTGTTCGCGCAATTCCAGCGCGAAACGCACTTTGCGTTAGATTCAACACGAATTCGAACCTAGTTCGAATCTGATTCCCGAGGAGGTCCCGCACGAAACGCTCACGTTTCTTTTGTTTCGGGCCGAGTTCGAACCTGGTTCGAGCCTGCTTTCCTAAAACGTCCCGCGCGAAACGCTGACTTTCCTCTTGTTTCGAACCGACTTCTATTGTTCCGAACCGAGCTCGAACCTGCTTCGAACCTTCTGTGGGAGCAGGACTCACGCGGTTCGCCGTTTTCGAACGGCCGCCCCGTCTGGCCTTACCAGTGTCTACTTGGGGGCACACCCGAGGTGGCCCGCCCCCTGCTGGCGCAGCTCCCCTCCCGTCACGCAGTGCCAGGCTCCGCACGCCCAACGGGGCACCTCCGATCCGCGCTGCGCCAGCGTGTCAGACCTTGGAGGCTCAGAAATGGGCACCAACACCAACACCGAGGGTTGCCTCCACCAGGGGAAGGCGATCCTGGATTTTGGTGCTGGTGGTAATCTTTCGGCCACCTTGTAAGCGCGAATATTACCACTTTTTTTGTTTTGTTTTTTTGAGGCGCTACGTCTAGACAGAGAACCGGGATACGTGGTGACTCGAGATGTCCTCTACGCTGTGTCTGCATGTGTCCCCACTTGAAACAGTGAAAATTGCCAGCTTCCCAACTGATGGGAAGGGGACCCCTCGATGCTACAGCGTCGCACCGAGGCCAGCACAGCCAAGGCAAGTCGGCGAGAACGTGTGGAGGAGGAAGACGAGACGACGACGACGAGGACGACAAGCGGACAGGCCACGAGGCCAGGATCATCTTCCCTCGGTGGGGGCACACCGCCGATACTGGTGTTGGTGTCAACCTCGAGGCCCCCGACATCGGGCGATCCTTCATCACGGCACAATATGAGATCCAGAGTGGATCCCCTCGCCAGTCACCTCGCACTGGTGCGTGATAAATCAGGACGACAGAAACGCCAAGACGTCCTCATCACCCTGGGCGGGGGGTGTTACCTCGCACTTGCGCGCGGCAAATCAAATCTTTGAAAGCAAAAGCACCACTGCAAGCGCACCCTTGGCTACCGGCCCGTTTACTGACGCCCCGTTGGCAGGGGCTTCAAGCCCCTGCCAACGGGGCGTCAAACATGCCCTGACTTCGGATCCGCCCTACTTTGGGGAAATTCGTAAGTAGGGCTTGGAATTTCCGCCTTACTTTTCAAGCCCCGCTGATGCCAATTTCCGCCCTACTTTTCGGTTGCTGTTTCCGCCCTAGTTCTGTGGATTTCCGCCCTACTCTATGTTGGGTGCAGCAATTTCCGCCCTACTTGTTCGGCTCCTTCTAGGTGGATTTCCGACGCAACTGTAGGTTGGAAAAAAAAGCCAAAGTAGGGCGGAACCGGAGTCAGGGTGTGGCGATCCTTCATCACGGCACAGCAGGAGGAGGAGGAGGAGGAGGAGGAGGAGGAGGAGGAGGAGGAGGAGGAGGAGGAGGAGGAGGAGGAGGAGGAGGAGGAGGAGGAGGAGCGGGGGGGAGGAGGAAGAAGAGGAGCAGGAGAAGGAGGAGGCGGAGGAGGAGGGAAGTGGGAGGAGAAGGAGGAGAAGGAGGAGGAGGAGAAGGAGCCCCTCTCGCTGCCCCTCCCCGGCGCGCCCCCTCGCATGCAGCACCCCGGGGAGGTCCCATGGGGCTCCACCTGCGGGGACTCCGGTATGCGCCAGGGCGCGGGCGCGCGCCCCGGGAGTCGGGACTCAACACGGCCGGGGGTCGGAGCGCTCTCCACGGTGTACGGTTTCTGCCGCGGGGCCCGGCGGCGTCCTGGTCTGCGCTGTCCTGGCTTCTCGGGGGGCGGGGGCTCCACGCCCATAAGAAGCACCCCGACAGGCGAAGCCGTTCAGTGAACGCACCCACAGAGGGAATCGAACAGGGCAGGGGGCAGATTAGCAAACGCCGAGGGCCGCTCAGTGAACGCCAATCGTCGGGTCCGGGTGGTTTATCATCCCCTACGTTCTGGCGCCCTCTGATCACTCTTCCCTCGAGGCCCCCCAGGCTCCCCGACTCTCCGTGGCGGTAAAAGGAGCATCGTAGATGCCCAGAACGGCTCAACAAACTGCAGGAAAGGCCAGCAAGGCCGCCGAGATGGCTCCACTTTTCCTGATGAAACACACCACAGCACCCAATAACCCTTGAACAAAGCCGCTCACGAAGGCCTTCAGAGGCACACAGGAATCCCCAATAGTCTTCCCAGATGTACTATCCAATGCTGAAGAGGACACGAAAGGGAAGGACAAGGAGCTCGCAAGCCAAGGCTGCAAAGTTCGCCAGTCCGCCCGATACGAACAAACAGACCCTGACCTCGGGCCGCGAGGCAAGTGTACGTATCACGGAATCGGTAACAGAACGGCCTCACCAGGAGGAGGGAGGAGGAGAAAGGGAAGGAGGATCAGGATCAGAGCTCCGAAAGGACCTCTTGCCTTGGTCAGCTACCAACATGAAACCAGGCTAGGAGGAGAACCCCAGGAAAGGGGTGAAGGGAAGGAGGAGGATGAGGAGGAGGGAAGTCAGCAGCCGTCCAAGATGCCCTCCAGGAGGTCCATGACAGAGAAGCACACGTTACAGATGCGTGGAGCAATGTTTTCTGCCCGGAACCTCTTATGTCCCCGTATTCTGGAAGCGGCACCAAGATACCCCCAAGACTCTCCTCAAAAAGCCCCAAAGCAACCTCCAAATGTGAGGGGCACTTCCCCGCACCTGTCGGCGTGTGCGAAAGTTTGCGCTTCACTCGAAGCTCTCCTGTGGCCACTGTTGGGCTCTCCGTCCTCAGGAACTCCGCGCCCCAACCCGGGCCCAGGGGCCCAAGGGGAGAGGGGCGCGGGGGGTGAGGCCGCGGGGGCGGGGGGGGGGCCCGGGGGGGAATCCCAGGGGGGGACCTGAAGAGCACCTGGAAGGGGGGCTGACGTCCCAAGGGTGACCTTCACCCCCCCCCCCCTACCACCCCGACCCGCGTCCCTTCCTGGCGTATGCCGGGCGATCAGTCGGGGATGGACAGACCCCCCTTTAGTAAAACGTGGTTTAGTGAGAACGACCTGAGGCCCAAACCTGGCGGGCGCAAGCCTGGAGAAGAACGGCCACAGCGCCCTCTCGAGAACCGAAAACGGACAATTCACTAATCGACGTGTCACTGTTGGGGGTTCTGTCCACCCCCGAATCAGGGGACCAGTTTGGCTTGGAGCTACCCATGCCCGCTAGGGCCCTCCAGGGATCAACCTCGGATAACTCCGGCGCTCTCGGGTGTCCCTCGGACCGTGTTGGAAGCCCTGGAAGCTGGCCCGATGAACCCAAATCAGCGGAACCGCGTGGGATGTTGATGCTTTACATGTTCTCGCCGCATCGGTCGCAAGAGCGTCCCTGACCGCCCAATAAGCTCTCAAGACGGGTACAATCTTGCCCAATGGGCCCCTAAGAGGGACCCAAGAGGCTCCGAGGATGGCCCGAAAACGAACACAAACAGCGCGCCACCGCCGCGCCACTAAAGGCAAACCTTCCAAAATGATCCCAAGACCCCCAAGAGACCCCAAGAGGCCCTCAGCAGGCCCCAAGTGGACCACAAAGGCCCCAAATAACCTCGCAACAAAAACCCTGAGACAGCAAACGTGTCCTCAAGGCCTTTACGTGACTCAGGCGCAGTGGCAGGATGGGACACAGGCCACTGATCGTCGCTCTGTCCTTGAAGCCGCCACCACCCCTGGTCCTCGTCGCCCTTTCCGCCTCTTGCGCCCAAGCTGCTCTCTCCTCAGGATCGTCGGAGGCGGCCGTGCGGCCTTCGAAAATAACTCTCGCATGCTGCGAGCCTCTCCATACAACGTGGGATCTGGGGAAGAGAGATGGCCAGTATGTGTGTATATATACATATACATATACATATACACAAGACGTGACGCTCGCTGCGCTTCGCTTGTTTTTAAGTCTTGGTATATAGCGCACGGTGGGGACGAGGTGTGGACCGACAGGCGGCCCCTGGGCTGGACCCGGCAGCGTGTGTAGGGCCGGGGAAGCGGAGGGCAACCGCAAAACCCGACAGCACGTGGACGACGAGCGCGCGCGCGCGTGGGCGCGCGCGCGAGGGTTCGGCTGGGCTGGTGCCCACAACGTCTGGCAGGAGGAATTCACCCAGAAGCTGTCCCAAATCTCTCCCCGTAGTTTTGTTAGACGTTTTCGCCCTAGCCGCTTGAGGGCGCCGTGCTTAAGTCCGAAAGTGTCTGGGGGGATGCCGTGTGCAAGGTGCGCATGCAAAGAGAAGAGAAGGGCACGTCGGTGAGAGTCATTTCTCTATCCACTTGCGCAAAGAAAATGGCCTGGAGAGTTCGGGGTGTCTTGGGGTCGTCTGGAAGGTGAAGCTCTCGGGGTGGGCCGTGTCGACAGCTATGCTGGGCCATCGTCGAGGGGTGAGGCCGTTGTCGGGGCCTGTCTAGCTGTGTTGGGGAATGCAGGTGGGCCCCCCGGGGCCTCTTGGATGTCGTTTTGGAGCAACTTGGCAGCCACTGAGGCGTCTTGGAAGCACTGTTGAACCATGTTGGACGTCTTCCGATCCTCTTGGGGTGATCCAAGAAGCCCGAAGAGCGTCCACAGGGGGTCACCAACACCGTTCAACTTGTATTTGACGGTGGTGGGACGTGTGAACATGTGGAGAGCCCGAGGTGGCCGTATGCGAAACGACACCTGACACCGAATGGCGAATCTATGAATCCGGGACTCCTGGGAAATGAAGTAGGGCCCCCTATCGGGCCTCTTGCGTGTCATGTTGGAGAAACTTGGAGCATGTGAAACGCCTCTTGGGCCATGTTGCGGCAGCACTGGGCCGCGTTGGGTCCATCTTGGGCCGTCTTGGATGCATCTTGGGCCCTGGCGCACCGATCTTGGCCGTCTTCGGGCCGCTCTCTTCTGGAGGTCCAGGAGACCCGAAAAGCGCCCACGAGGGGTCGCTGGAGCCGTCCAATTTTTGTTGTTGTGGGGGCCCATCCTAGGTGACAGATAATATAGATAGGTATGGATACATTCATCGGGAAAGAGAGAAAGAGAGAGAGAGAGAGAGACGCCATGACCCCTGAGCACTATAGCTATCACATGGCAGCCTTCTCGGTCGAGCGGATGAGTGTGTCGCATGCGGGCCTCTAGAGCCTACGGGCGAGATCTGTCAAATGTTGCAGCCTTGTTTGCAGAATCGAGCGGGCAACACGGAAGAATCATGGCCTGCTGGCTCAGGCTGGAAACGGGCAGCTGGCGTGTTCTACATCAATCCTCGTTTAGCTGCATCAGGCTGCATCCATCTTGTCCGAGGCTACCTCCACCGTGTACGCATCGTTCGAACTTACCCGATGAGCATCTGGAGCCACTTCCAGGTCAGAGCCACAACGGCATGCAAAAATGAGCATTACCAATATCAACGAGCGCACATAGACCCGCAACACTTGCGCATACGGCTGCTCTCACCTGCAACCACCGCTGATCGAGCTCATACCATGCGGAGACCGGCAACACAAGCATTGCCAAAGAAGCACCGCCGACTTCATGAGTCCATCAATCTGCCAAAGAACGGGCATACCATTCCTACTGCGCAGCGCGGGTGACTCTTGCCGGCCTTTGCACTGAGAACATCACGATCATCCACCAGCTCCTCAACAACATCGTCATTGAAATGGTAAAACCGCCCGTCGATCGGGTGCCTGGTGCGAAAATAGATTCTGAAAACAACAGATCATGGATGGCGAGGAACTGCAGGATAGGTAACCGGGAGATAACAAGATAGAGAGACGATCGCACCAAATGACTGGAAAGCTTGCAACCTACGGTCCCATGGAGGTGATGCGAGTTACAAAAACTGTGCTTTTTGCCGAACCACTCCAGAACTGATTACTCAGGAAAGGTCATTACATAGCACAGCTGATCCAATACGGTAAAAAAGGATTGCATATTTCGTCTACCCTGCGAAGAACAACAGCGCACCACCAGGCGCACAAATTCATGCCCGCACCTGCACGCGTGCCGGCTTCGTGGTTGGAAACGCCATGAAGTGCTCCAAAGGCCCCTCCAAGCCCTTGGCCGCCAAAGCCTCCAGAGATACCCCAGATGGCCACTGGGTCGTTCACAAAAACGCTGCATGCGAGGAGAGACCTGCCGTCGCGCAAGAACGCGGCCTTTGTGTGTGTGTGTGTGGCTGTGCGTCTCTTGTCCGCAAGGCCTGGCGGAGACAATGGAGTTTCACACAGCTCAAGAAGAAGCATGCACGGGTCCAAGTCGCGCGAGAGGATCCAGGAAGAGGCGCGCGAACAGATCACAAACCACACACACGCACTCGAGCAACGCTGATTCGACCTGAACCCTCAGTCTCATTCGTCGCGGGGAAGGCAGACCTCTGAAGTGCACACGCACTCTCAACAAGTCTGCGCACTGCGGAGAATGCCCCCTCCGAAATTACCCTGCCCCTCTCTCCTCACTTTTCCGTTGTCGCTTCCGTTTTTTCTCCCACCGTCCTGCATCATCTCTCCGCAGTCCAAGTCCTCGCCCCACAACCTGTCTCAGCCCCCCTCTCCTCCTCCTCCTCCTCCTCCTCCTCCTCCTCCTCCTCCTCCTCAGTTTCCACAGCACCACACTGCGCCGGGCATCTGTCGCCACCTGCCTGTTGGACCGCCACCTGCTGGACCCAAGGCTGACCCGCGCCGACGACTGTGCACAAAATCGGCCTGTGTCGCGTCCGGTACGCAGAGAGCGCTGCAAGACTTGATTATCTTTCCCACGAGCTGCTGGAAAACTCGCGTCGACACAGATGCACCGCTGGAAACCGCGCCCGTTGGGGCTAAGGGTGTAGTACGGGAGTGGAGTGGCAAAGGCGGGGCCGATGCCTCCTTGGGGGGCGTGCGGCTGCCGACGGGGGGGCATTGCTGTGGTGCTGCCCTAGCGTCCCAAGGAGCTGGCGGTGTGGCTTACGGATCAGCTTTCGGCGCGCACGCGCATGTGCCCAATGCGCGCACCTTGACAGCGCGCTTGCAGCCCCGTTTGGTGCGCGCGCGAGCAGCACTCGCACACATGCGCCTGCACGTCGCAGTGTAGTGCCCGTATCCAAAGGGGCCGTGGTGGTTTGCCACGCAGATGACGTCGTAGACCAGTGGCTCCTGGCCAGCTCAATGCTCAAAGAAATGCAGCCAATGCCTGTACGGCGGGTTCGTGCCTTGACCGCTTGCGCGGTGGTTTCTGACGCCGCGTGGATGGATCAACCTTGCACAATCGTGACATGTCGCTCGCACAAGATCGTATATATATATATATATATCGGGGGATTCCAGGCCACTGGCGGGGTTCAACCTTGAACGCCCGCGCAGGGGTCGCCGCCGAGACAACGCGGAGCGAGCCTACAGTATTCAAAGACGTGCTGCCAATGCATGTCCTCGAGATACTATGTTGAATGCTGCGCCCCTTTTTCATGTTCTCTTGTCACCTCACGCCTCTGTTGGAAGAGTCTGGCGGCACAGACTATCAGATCCCGACCCTGCTGCAATGGGTAGCGCTAAATAAAATTTGAATATTGCAAGTACCTCACTGCGAAAAATGAAAAGAGGCGCATTGAAGATGGCATGAGCCTGAAAATCCGCCGAACCTTTCGGCGTGTGTGAGGGGAAAGTCTAGACTGATCGTCCAGGGGTTGTCCGGGGAGTCGTTTTTACAAGACTTGTGGAAAACCACCCAGGCGCAGTGGCGGGGTAGACCGCGGATCAGTCGAAACCGCCACTGCCCCTTGCCATTGTCCCCCATTGCGCCTCTTGCGCCCAAGTTGTTCACTTCTCGGGGTCGGCGGAACAGGCCGTAAGGACTTCGCAATGCAGGACGGTTGGAACACACAACTGATGATGAAAGGATTGCCCTGGTGGCAAATGTGACGACGTATTCGGAAAGGCCTGTCAAGGACTGACCACGGATGGAGCAGAGAAGGTATTGATTGATGATGATCACAAGGACGGCGCATTCATCTGCCCTGCTGCTACACGCCCCTGTTGCGTCGACTGTACTCCGGCCCGCTCCTAATTCTAAAGGTCTTGACAACCCTCCCCCAGTAGTGAAAACAACGACGACGACGAAGACAACGGCGACGACGACAATGGCGACGACGACGACGACGACGACAACGACTGCGACTGCGAGGACGATTACGATTACGACTACGGCTACGCCGGCTCCGACTACGACTACGACTACGGTTACGACTTCGGTGGAGGAGCAGGCGGAAGAGGAGGAGGGGAAGGAGGAGACGGGGGAGGAGGAGGAAGAGGAGGGACGATCCCCGCCGATAGAACAGGAGGAACTAAACTAAAGACCCTTAGGGGTTACATAGTAGTGTACGCATGAATGATCAAAAGACTTGATTGTACCCAAACGTTCGCCCCACAACTCCCAGCAAAGTCCTTCTTTACGTCGTTCAAACGTCTACCCTGGTCAACTCTTCCCTGTTACAACTTGTTGAACTAAATCCGCCGACCACTTGTCGGACTCTACAGAAAGTCCAGCAAGTTCGTGCGATTTGAACATTCGGCCCGAAGGTTCAAGTCGCAAGAAGGTGCCAGATTGTTGGTCCAACGTGGCCAGGGGACGTCGGCGCAGCCAGCCTGGGGTAAAATAGTTTGGCGGCAGGTCGCGGGCGATGGGCGCAGCGTGGGGCGCCGGAAACGCATGCAGGGCCCCCCGCGGACGGCGACGGTGATGCGGGTCCCTTTCGAGCGTGTCAGCGTCGCCTGGGGCGTCGGATCCGGGCACGGATCCGCTACGGATTTTGCTTTGACGGAATGTGTGCGAATTGGTGGGGTTTTCGACGGGTCCGAATGGTGTGAAAGTTATGTGTTTCGCGCGGATCCTGTCTGGCCACTGCACCCTTCTATAATTTTGATCAAGGGCAGCAGTGGAATCCGAGGACGACTTACCCAGGCCACGGGGCTAGGCGCCTTCTAAAAATTTACTGAAGCTCTCCTGTTAGAACGTTTCAGCGGCAGCTATTTCTAAAGCTTTACTGGGCTGCTCCTCTGGGATCCGACGTTTGGGCGGTCGTGCGTTCTGATCACTCGACCTCGCCGTCGCCAGCATCGTGGTCGTCGTCGTCGTCGCCGCAACCGTAGTCGCCGTTGCCATCGCGGACGTTGACGTCACTCATATCCGCAACTGTGGGGTGGCACGTACCCTTCAAAGTCCCTGCTATGGTGATATATCTAAAATATCCGCCAGCCCCCTTGTGGGGCCACCAGGCTGCAGGCTGAGTGTTTGCTGTTCCCTGCGCCAGTTCCAGTTTCCAGTTTCCACTGTTACAGTTCTGCTTAGGCCTCATGATTTCGCTCTTGCATTGCCAATTATCTGAGAGAGGGGGCCGGCGGCAGAGGGCGAAGCCCTTACGGATAAATGAACAAAAAACCTGCACAGGCATAAACTTACTGAACTGGACCCCCCTCCCTGGCACGGGAAGCGCGAAAGGGGCGGCGCCAAAGGCGCCGCCAAGGGGCTCCAGCGCAGATCCAAGAGATCCGCGCAGAGCGCCGAAAGTGTATGTTTATGCCGCTTGTTCGCCTTCGATGAAAACCCATGCGTGCAAGCACCGCTTGGGGAATAAGCAGAAATCTGTATGATTCAATTGGGCGGATGTGTATGGTCGCGCTGCGCCGTTGCAGTGCGCGTTACTCTACACGATACAACATCCCTCAATGAAACACTCCGCAGTTTGGAGCCACGGTGAGCGCGCGCTTGAAATCCTTTCTGAATCCCCCGTAGAAGAACAAGAATGGTCTGCAGATCCGAGGTTGCGTGGATCCACTTCCCGCTGGGAACGCGCCAAAAAGCTGGATGGGGGCGCGCAAGATGCTGCGCAGCGCGCAGCATACTGCTGAACAGGAGCGCACATACTGCTGGATAGAAGCTACACCATGCTGGACGCGTGAAGTGCTGCATGTGAGCGCGCAGCATGCTGAGAGACGCGCAAGTTGCCAAATGGGAACACACACAATTCTGGACGTACCGCTACCCTATCCGACCCCACTACTCTGCATCTGCTCAATTTGACATACATGTGCAATCATGTGGGACAGTTGAATCCGCTGGAATACGATTGGCTCCACTCGGCAGCATCTAAAGATCTGCAAATGTAATCGAATCCAACATTGCGAGACACCAGAAAAGGCGCCAGACGAGGGGAGCATCCGCCCACGACTACGAGCCAACACAACATAGCCGATGTGGGAAATCCCGCACATATGAGTGGCAATGCCAGACATGGAAGTTCAACTACATTCCTACAGTTGGCCCAAACAGATCGGGAAACAGTTACACCTGAAGCACGGCAGAGCTGCTTGCCGAGCCGCATCGTGCTGAGCACTGCAAAGGGTGGCGAGGCTCCCGCTGCGGAGTGGTCACAAACTCGGTGAGATCCATGGTCAGCGGAGCACGCAGATCCGCCTGAGCCGCCGCCCGAGGGCGAAAGCCGCAACACACACACAAACCTTAGGAGACAAACCGCCCACTGACAATAAGCAATGCTTGCCCTTCCGCACTCCTGCTCGCACTCAGACCCCCCGACAGTGGAGGCCAGTCCACCTTCCACGGGAAGCCCGACCCTGAGACCCCAGGACTCCCATTGATTGGGAGCATCACGCTTCCCATCGCAAAAAACCACCGAAACCCAGGAAACCCAGGGCTCCCTGGAGGCAGGCAGGATGTTTCTTGGCGTGGGCCTCCACTGCAAGCAATGCTTGCCCTCTCTGTTATGTTGTCCCCATCCTTCTTAAGGACCACATCCCAGGAATAATTTCGAGCACCCAGAAAATTGTCAAAAGAGTGCCGAAACAGTGTCGAAACAGTGTCGGGCGAGTGTCTCCCAGGGCCCGACACGTGGAAACCCTCGAGTTTCGGCACTCTTTTGGGCGCTCGAAATTCTTCCTGGCGGTCAAGGCTAAAGTAGGCTGGAGCATCATAACTTCTCTGCACTCCTGCTCGCGCTCGCATGCTTACCCCCCCTCTGCGCCGAGGGCGAGGCGACGGCACGCGGGCGGTGCATGCCATGCCTCGTCTGCCCACACCCCATCGGGGCGGCACTGCCGCTCGCCCCGTCTGGCCACCCCCTCTCTCCCCAGCGATCGCCGCTGCGCTGCCACCGACGACAAGAGAGCAGAGGAGTGCCGGCCTGGATCTTGCGGAACCGCTGGGTCCTGAGGGCAGCGGCGCCAGCCCCGAGTCACCGAGAGCGTCGAGCAGGTTCTCCCCGTCGCTCGGGCGTCCGTTCCCTGTGCTTTTGATCGGTTTCGTGGGTGTTTTTTCGGAGGATGATCCAGGATGCTCCTTAACAATCCCGCCGAGAGAGACAAAAACACATGTCCGAGCGATACCAATGGTTGTGCCAGTCTAGGCCACGAGGAGGAGGAGGAGGAGGAGGAGGAGGAGGAGGAGGAGGAGGAGGAGAAGGAGAGGAGAAGGAGGAGGAGGAGGAGGAGGAGGGAGGAGGAGGGGAGGAGGGGGAGGGAGGAGGAGGAGGAGGAGGGAGGAGGAGGGAGGAGGAGGGAGGAGGAGGGAGGAGGAGGGAAGGGCAAGAGGGCACGGAGCTCGGCGGCTGCAGTGGCAGTGCCCTCCTCGAGAGCGCCTGCCGTTCGATCGTTCGCCCCTCCCTCCCACGTGGCAGGCCGAGGGGCCCTGGCGGGTTCAAAAGGAGACTGGCTTCTGTTGCACCGCACTCGGACACGAGAGCCCAGCGAGGCACTCGGATTTCCTCCTCGGATTTCCTCTCCTCCTCCTCCTCCTCCTCCTCCTCTTCCTCCCTCCCTCCTCCCCCCCCTCCCCCATCCCCCCCCCCTCCCCTCCCCCCTCACCCTCCCCCCATCCCTCATCCCCTATCCCCCATCCCCCATCCCCCATCCCCCACTCCACACCCCATCGCAGCGCACAAGGCTTAGCGCGGCATAAGCCGGGGCGGTCCTCTGGTTGTACTCGAAGCGCTTCAGGTGCACCACCAGCACCGGCGGAAGTTTCCAGATGTCTATCTTCTTCTTGGCGTTCACCCGCCGCTTGCACCGGGGGCAGCTCCACTGCTCGTTGCCTCTGCAGAGGCCGCTGCGGCAGAAAGAGGAGCAGTGAGATCGTGAGAAACAAAAATAGGGTCCAGCACGCAACGCACGGACAGTGGAAAGAGGAGGAGGAGGAGGAGGAGGAGGAGGAGGAGAAGGAGTAGGAGGAGGAGCGCCAGTACCTTCCCGAGTCTGTCAAGCTCAACCTCGACGCCTCGGCCTGAGCCAACTGTATGGCCTAGGCGCGTTAGGCGGAGGTGGAAGAATCGAGTAATTGTCCGGCATTTTCGTGAGCGCCGCTTTCAGGGCCACGAGGAATTGGTTTGAGTCGAGAGGCTGACCATGCTGTCAACTGACCATCTTCTTGGCTATATGGTAAGGAGGGGGCGGAGGAGGAGCAGGAGGAGGGAGACGTGGCCACAAGTGCGGGCGACAGCGTCTCCTTCAATTCGGGCCACGAGGGTGGGTTACCACACGGGCGAAATTGTGACCCCATGCATTGTGACCCGATGCACGGGCGAATCATGTTTCCGCTGCTGGACGATCCACCGTTCCCAGGGGGGCCTTTCAAGCACACGGCCGTGGCCGACGCGAGTCACATACATGTGTCGCCAACCCTTCACAGCAATCGCACCCACATCACTGAATTACAAATACTTCACAGCAATCGCACGCACTGCAACACGATATGCACATACGATATGAGTACACGCGCCCTGGGAATCCCCCGATATGCTTTCAAGAATGAGGAGAGAGGAGGGAGGAGGAGGAGGAGGAGGAGGAGGAGGAGGAGAAGGAGGAGGAGGAGGAGGAGGAGGAGGAGGAGGATCTTGAGGAAGGAGCGAGGGCAGAACGCGGCCGAGGACGAAGGGATGTGTAAGACCCGCGCCAGGTCAGGTAGGGCACCGAACTGCAGTGGGCCTGAAACTAGATATCGTTCCAGCTGTGCTGCTGCGCTGGCGAGACGGTAGGGTTGGCCTGAGAGCAAGCCATGTAGGCCACCGTCAGAAGAAAAACAATACATTCAGAATCTTGCGGAGAGGGGCCGCGTGGCTTGACCTTACGCGATTTTTACGCGGCACTACGCGGGCATTTACGCAGGGTGCTGTTCTCAGGACGACTGTGCCCGTAGTTCGCGCTGCCTGGCAGGGGGCATCTAAGATCCTTGCGTAGGGCTTCCCCCCGGCCTCTCGAAGATTCATCCCTCCCAAGCCGTCCCCTCCAACCATAGTGGTAGGGTCACAAAACATCTCAAACGCTGAACAATCCTTGCACCTGTAGTCTCTGAAGCATGCAGGAAGGTTAGAAGCTGGGCAACATCCCTGGAAATATCCGAAAGAAACGCTGGGTCACGGCCAAGAGGGAAGAACTCTTGGTCATCGGGCAGAACTGCGTAGGAAAGAAAAGGCAGACACATGCGAAGAAGATTCCAAACCGCTTCCTCCCTGCCGGACTGGTGAGAATCACACAAATGTCTTGCAGAGGTCCACACAGATTTCTTATCCTGGCGCGCGGAGCGCGTCAGAGGGCGGGGCCAGAGGCGCCGCCAGGGGGTTTCCTCGTCGACCCAAGATACCTGCGTGGACATTAAAAGCATGCCAAATCATAATTTGTGCGCCGCTTTTTGCCATTGGAATGTCTTCCCTGCTGAACCGGTGTCCTGAGAGGGTCTCCTCCATCAGGAACTGCCTCAGGGCCTCCTGCGGCAAGGTGCGTGGGGAAACCAAAAGGTACCGATACCGCTACTCCTCGGACCTCTCCCGGGGTGCGTTCTGACCAGGATTTCGAGGCGACTCCAGCGGTGGCAACAAGGGCCTCCGAGGAGGCGCAGAGGGGGGAAAGCGGGCGAAGGGTAGAAGTATGGGTAGCTTTTCCTCCTCTGAGCGCGGCGACAACAACAAGCGACGAGCAGCGGCCCCTGAGCTCCAACCGTTCCAGAGATCGGTTCGGATTCGAGGCGGCTGTGGTGACGGCGACGACCACATCCATATTCGTGCCCTCGTGGGCTGGACACCGAGGCGAGATCCAATGGATACGTGATCATACTGTAGGGGGGGAACAATTAGTGGACACTCTCCCGCTCCCCCAAACTCACAGTTGGCACGCGCGGGGGAGACTGCGGTGAGAGTGCAGCTCATCAGACCCACCGCCAACTTTGAACATTGGGAGACAGGGGAGGCGTTAGGCGTTGACCGATGAATGTGGCATGCATGTTCGCTATCTTCTCGAAGCCTGTATGGGCACTTTCCGCGCGAGCAATCCTCGCAACGCCGCCCAATATCCATAGGGGTCGCGGCCGAGGAATCCAGACGGCAAGGCTGTGGGTATGCCTATTCTTCCCGCTCGCGGATGTTTGCCGTCTCCCATCCCAGAGCCAGAGGGTGCGGGGGGTGCGACATGTACTGCTTTCCGGACGGGGAGCTGTCTGCCTCCGGATCCTGCAGCAGCCCCCTCCTAAGCACTCATTGCACGAGACAAGGCGCAGGACGAAAAACGCTCCTGCGAGGAACGGCCGAGGAGCGCCCCGCGAGGGCGGAAGAGGAGAGGAGGGAGGCGCTTGCTGCTTGTGGTGGCTGCCTGTTTGCTCTTGGATGGCGCTGACTTGTGTTCGTTGTGCCTGCCTGCCTGCACGCTCGTGCCAGGACTCACCGCCCTGATGTCCCGAGCTTCCAGAGCGCTAGAATATGTCGGGGACGAGGCGTCCAGCGGCGGTGGAGTCCTCGTGCACCACATGGCCTGCGACGCTGTCAACCTCGGAGGTTGCGCACTTCAACGCACGTGCGCGCCTCGTCCGGGTCTTCCTTCGCGACCTCCAACGCTCCCCAGTAGGAGAGCGTTCGCCATTTTTCGCAACAGAGGCCGTTACCGGCCCCAGCCGCCACCCCTCCCAGGTAAAGTCACGATTCCTGCTGACGTCCGAGCCTTTTGTTCCTGACTCCTAGGCATTCCAGACGGCGCTGGCGCGAAAAGCGACAGCACCTGCCCCGCCCCCGTCCCCTCCCCTTCCCCCAGTAGCGCCCGTTATAGCCCGGGGAAATAAAGCAACGCCCTCCAAGCCGAACGGTCATCCGACGCGGCCGAATTCGTGGGACTGGGCCCAAGGGTATTCGACAACGCTGCGACAGCAGTCCGCCCTCATCTTCTGGACCGCTGGCCACTTCTTTGCCATGGTCACCTATTTGTGTATCTCCGAGGGCCAATCACGGCGGGCCTGCGGGTGCCATAGCTCGTTTGCGCGTCGTGGCACCGCGTCGTCCTCCCGCTCCCAGCCTCGCAAGAAGCAGGGCCAGCGCAGCCGACTCGACGAGCAACACCAGACGAGGCGCGCTGCTGCGGACTGCCGCCAAAGCCGCGCGCGGCTGGGCCCGCGGGAGCCCTGAGCCGAGGGAGGCCCACTCGGGCGCCTCGACTTCGCCTGGCTGTCGCGCCTCCCCTCTCCTGGCTTGCGGGGTCACCTACCGCACCCCATGGGGCTCCTGGCCAGAGCTACGACCCACCCGACGAACTCCTCAAAAAGGGTTCTCCGCGCCTTCCGGCCGAGCGCCGCCCGGGGGCTGCGCTTCCACTCGCGCCCGCGCCAGCTTCCCCATCACCCTCAGGACGGGTACAGCCGGGGCGTTGACCTAAGGAACCCTAAATAAGGAGCGAGGCCCTCTTTTTCCCATAAGTCAAACTTCGATTTCCGATCGAAAACATAAGGAGAACCTGAGGCAAGCTGCGAAACACGTAAGGAACGCGGAGCCCCTCCCCAACGAGAGGGGTTCCTTCTTCAGCGCCCCGACTGTATGCGCTTCCACTCGCGCCCGCTCCCGCTTCCCCCAGCACCCTCGGGACGGGCACCAGACCCGCTGCCTCGCAGGCGCCCGCCATCGTGAAGGGGCCCACAAACACACAAATAAATACACACAAATAAAAAGAGTCCCCATATTTTCACATATTTTCAGCGTTTCTGTCTTCCCCCCCACTTCCCATATTTTCGCATAGTTTCTGGGAATCGACGATTAATTGTGTCTGTGTGGTTTTTCCCTCCTGACATCCCTTTCACCTTCCTGCCGGGCCGCCATCAGCGAGGCAAGGCTCGCGGGCGCGGCCATCTTCTCAGCGCGGCACAGGCCTACTCTGAAGTCGGGCATGTCCCTCTACAGGAGGACTATCCAAAAACGGTCGAGATCATAATATGGCGGCGATCCTTCTGCTGTGTTGGACTATTTGGGGGCATGTGCTGACCATTGCTGCGTTTCTCTTCCAGGACCTGCCTGTAGGATCGTGGGCGAACGGGCCCAAGTCAGTGACTGTGCCCGAACTGTGCCCGAATGGTTCCCGAAGTGGAGGCACGATTTTGTCAATGCTTCCACGGTCCTGCCTTGTGCTCTGTCGCTGGCGCCTCAGCCTGCGAGGGAAACACTGCGCGCGGCTCTCCGTCGGGGAGCCAGCCTCGCTTCCTCCTCCGCCTCCTCGGGCCTGCCGGCCCGAACGCCTGGCCGACGCCGCCCTCCGCCGCCCCCGGCGCCGCGCGAGGCTCTGCGCGCCCGCCTCCCGCCGCCTCGCCGAGGGCTCGGGGCGCCTCTCTCCCCCCCTGCCTGCCGGCTCCGCGCCAGGAGCCCGCGGCGGGCGGTCTGCACTGGCTGCAGGTCGGGCAGGCCCTCCCACGGGCGGAGTCTGGAAGGGGGATCCAAAAAAAATAGTGCACGCCTGCTCCCCAATAGTTAGTCCAAGCATGGTGAAGCCATCGCCCCCCGACTGTTTTTGCCTGACTGTCGTTCGGGCAGCTCCTCCTGGAGAGGGACATCCCCCACTCAACACGAGCGGCCTGCCCCCCCAGAGGCAGGCCCGCTTACAGCCTCGGCTCGCCCTGGGCGCCCGGGCGGCAGGGCGCGGGGGGAGGCGCGCGAGAGGCGGGCCCCCCCCCCCCCCCCCCCCCCCTCTGCGACCACCGCCCAGGAGATCGATCCTCTCCCAGGGGGGGCCCTCGGCCTGTGGTGGCTGCGACGAGGGAGTCGAGCTGCTGGGCCGCTCCCACTCCCCGCAAATCCAGCGCAAAGGGGCCCTGGGACACACAAACAAATGGACGCAGGTCCCAGGATTCCCCAACAGTTTCCCATATGTTCTAGGTTTTCGCATTCCCCCCCACTTCCCACATTTCCCCATCGTTTCCTGGGAGTCGACGATTAATTGTCTCTGTGTGTTTTTGTCTCTCCTGATAGAGGCCTCCTAGATGGGGTCCGAGCAGATGGGGTCAGAGAATCGCGCTGCATCGCGGATGCATCGCCAATACATCGGCGATGCATCGGCGATGCACCAGCGACGTCGGCGGTGCATCGGCGCCGTCGGCGTGGAGAAAGTCGGGCTCCACATCAAGCCGCATCGCCAATGTATCGGCGATGCGGCGCGATTTTCCGACCCCATTTGCTCGGACAACATCTAAGAGGCCAAGAAAATCAGGGCTCCAAAGACCGGGTCGAAGTAAAGGTGCAGCGCCATTGGGGCACACGTGAGGGCCCTTCCTCAGCTCCGCTTTCCAGGAATGGTAGTTTATGTCATAACCCTATTTGAACCCTTCGCCACGCCACGTCGGGTGTGGGTGGGTTCGACAACAAAAAACTCGAGTGGTTATAAGGGGAACGGGTTTCCCGAAAGCTGGCGGCGGCCCCCAGGGGCTGGCTTAAAGAAAATTCGCGGGTGGGTGAAAGGCGAACGGCTTTCCCGAAGTTGACGCCAGGCCCCATGGGTGGGCCGATTCCCTGATGCATCTCGCCAGAAAGAGTGGACCGGGGCAGCAACGACGACGACGAACTGCGAATGCCTCATGGGTGGGGCAACGCAAACCCGGCAACGACGACGACGACGATGACGACGGCGGACGACGACGACGACGACGACGACGACGACGACGACGACGACGAACGAAAACAACGTTGACGACGACGGTGGCGGCGGCGGCGACGACGACGACGGATTCCTTCAGGTTCCGACGGATTCCTGAGGACCCTTTCCTCCGGATTCCTTCAGGTCCCTTCGGGTTCCTCCGGATTCCTTCAAGTTCCTTCAGATTCCTGAAGAGTGCTTGAGGCTCCTGGGGGGTCCACAGGGTTCTTCAGGATTCCTCCGGGAGTCCTGAGGGGATCCCCTGGGGATTCAGTGGACATGGACATGTTTGCCCGTCCCCCCCCCAGGGGAACATGTCCAGATCCACCGCCTGTCGAGGCCTCTGAATGCGGGGCAACGATAGGGGGGGGACTGGCACCTGGGGGGGGGGGGGGGGAACATCGACCTGGAATCGGCGAGGCATCCCCGAGAGCTCGGAGAGAGGCCCCCGATGGCGAGACTGCACGCTCCTGGGCGGGGTGCGGGCGCACGTCGGCGATCCATGGGCGATCCGGGGGTCGAGGCGCTCCCCCGCCCGAGCCTGCGCCCTCCCTCCCGCTGCCCCTGGCTGGAGGTCGATCCCCCGGGCGGCGGGGATGGATGAATCTCCACCTGGCAGACGGCCGAGGGGCGACACCGATCTCAGGCCTCCGCCCGAAACTGTCCCACCGCCGCGCCGCTGCATGCCTCCGCGCCGAGCTCCGAGACCTGGCGCCCCGCCCAGCGGGCACGTCGGCGAGCCCACCGAGCTGAGCGAGCTGCAGACTCGTCGGCGCGCTGATCGCCCCATGAGCCAGTGGGCACAGCAGGCTCG